ATTCAAAGTTCCAAGATAAGTAGACTACCCCTCCCTGGTTAGAAAGAACCAGGAAAAGATAAATCCAATCCTGTTCTTCATTCGTTAGGTAAAGTTTATCATGAGAGCCAAAAATAAGTCGTACATAATAGGGGTACATCTAGGAGGACCGCAAGCGCCGCCTCAGAAATACTCTTATTATGTACTACTTAGTTTTGGCCAGATTTCTTTCCAAAAGCTCTGAACGGAAAGAATGTTGGGCTCACCCCCCGAGCAAGAACGATCTACTGGGCCATCTGGCTCGCGACAGGGACGAAAGGAGGTGTTCCTGTGCTGGCTCGAGGATACCGATGATCGACTGGACGGCAGATGATACAGGTGAATGAAGTACAAAGAAAGGTATCAAAATCGTTCAGTTAGTACGGTAAATGAATATCTAAATAGAAGGCTCGCTTATACTCACTACAGGACACATAGATGACTTGAAATTCGTCGCGTTAGAGTGCAGAAATTCGATAATGGCGCACATACACTGTACAGAATTAAAAAAACGGTGATAAGGGGAGCAATCATCACCTGCCGTCGTCTCGGAATCACCCACACCCGAACTTAGTTAACAGTGGTCCCTTATAATCAAATCCCGATACACAAAGACCGCAACTCAAGTAATGAACTTCTTTATGCGCAGCGCAAAGCAACGGTAACAAAGCGTATACTTCACACTATTTCCAAAACTTTCAATCTCACCAATGAAAATTTATTCAATAGGGATGAGGTATAAATCATTCTAGTATACAAATGGAAAACACGAGACACTAATAACAACCGGACGCACCTATATACAAAAGAACAAAGTTCTCCTAAACGAAGGACACTCATATGACGAATAATGGAATAGCAGTGTTCAAAACAATGCACTAGAATACGACGGAAAAAATCGAAGGAAAATCTAATCAATATGAGACATTATGTACAACCAATCGGGCACGAAGAAGAAAAGAAAAAACGTTACTTTAATCTATTCTAAAACAATTTTTGTAGAATCGCGAACTTTCGTCATATGTTGGCAAACTGTTGAATCCAATAACAAATCCACACCACTTTGGATGGCGAGCAAAAACCGTAGGTGTATGCCAAAGTTCGGCCTTCGCATACAACAAAATGAGATTTATAAGATATCTACATGAACTATTAGAACTACCAAGAAACCGGTTTCCAGCTACACGATTAAAAATTTTTCGAATGCCAAAGTTGCCAAGCAAATAGTGACCTGATAAATTCCACGGAAACAATAGCAAAAGGCCGGCTGTACCGTACCGGAATTGAAAATCTTTCATATTAAAATTAGAATAATGTAACCCCCAAGAGAAAACTACGCGCTGACAGCTTAACATTACATTTAGCATGGTAAATACTTAACCCTCAAATTGTCTACCATTTATGTTTGAGTTTAATTTTACCAAGTGTACGGCGCGACATAATTTTCTTAGCTTACATTCCTACCAAAACGTTGTGCCACAATTATATCTCGGTACTTATCGAATTTACGCCTTCACTCATTCCTTCTACATCTACAATTCGATAGGTACCGAGGTAGCCCCCTCTGCTACACCTCGACATCCATATCGAAATCGTTGTCGTCCCTTTAATGTAGTGTGGTTCCGACAGCTTTACGATTGCTCCTCATGGCAATCATATTTGAAGTCTAGCCTTCCATAATAAGTGATTACAAATGATGAACGTGTTCAGTCGCTAGTGTCTCCATGCTCACGAATTTCAGCAACGAACTTGTCGAACACGCCTTGCTTTTGAGAAAACCCGTCCAACTGGAAAGGAAAAGTTATGTTTATAATGAAAAAATGAGCACGAAAAAATAAGCGCAAACTTTTGAACAGACAGTCTATTCAGCTCCTTTGGCTTTGATCAACAGCTTTTCCCCAAATAAAGGTTCATGAGGTAAGCAAAGCAATACACTTGTGTTAGAGTGGCAAACCCATATACTAGTAGTTATAGCAACGACCTAAAGGGTAAGGGATAAAGTCCTCAGGCGTTGATCAATCCTGTCTGAGGGATGCGCCCCGTATTCGACTTCCACTCACAATCGTAGTGGCTTATTGAATGCGTATGTGACCTATACAATGACTTGCGGTGCGAAGCAGATGTACAAATCAGTGCTTCTACATTACCAGATGAGTTTGGTACCAAATAACCAACCCCGGAGGGATGGAAGGCTTGGTTTGCCCACCGGGTTTGGAGCCGGGATTCGAACCCGTGACCATGCATGTGTGATAGCGCGACACTTGCCACTATACCACCCCCGCCCTATAAAACTGCAAATTATGAGCCACAGCTTCCAAAAGGTAACCTGAAACTCTTAAGTTCGGAAGTTGTGCACCGAGTGAGTACCAAAACTGAGTGCAATCACAGTTTGTTTTGCCGGCCCAATTGCTGACGTGCGCTTGCGATACCGACATCCCACCACTGCTACGGTGGAATTATCGGTATCGATCCCCGAAGAGGACAGTCAATGCAAGTTGCACGCAGGTGCCAACGCAACTTCAATTGAAACCCCTGTAGAAATCTAAAGTGACCCGCAACGCTCAGAAGCCAAAGCTGCGCTGCTTAGCAATATGATAGTAATGGAGCAATTCAAGATAAGCAGCAGTAAGCGACATTCAATTGATGTATCGCGCTGAGACGAGAGATCGAAATAGCTCAAAACCTTGATGATTACATCAAGTAAAAAAAGAAAACCTCACTATACGCAAAAAGCCTACCTAAAAATTCATAAGGCAAAGAAACTCAGCTTTGGAAGAATAATCTGGAACTTACTAAGCTCTTTATATCGCTCAATGTATCCCACTCTGTCGGGACAGCTTCCAGCGGTGGGGGTGCTTTGCACGACGTCATGAATTCAGTCAAATGGAAGTCCAGCTCTCCCAACTCAGCATCAGATGGTCGTCCAAACAGCGGTATCTGCACCGAATTCTATGAATAAACAGACAGAAATCAGAAGAAGATTGGCGCTATTCTATTACGATGCGATATTTATACTCTAGCTTTACATAACTCAAAACATCCTAAAAGCTCTAGGCATAATGGATGCAACACAATTCACCTTGACGAATGAGTCGTCTTCTGCTTCAGCCTCATCCAGATCTGGTTCCGCCTCTGCTTCTGGTTCTGAGGGTTTCAAAGTTGCAAGTGATTCTCCCTGTTCTTCAACATCCATATCGCCTTTTCGAGAGCTTTCAGTTTGGCTATCACTGTCTTGATCGACGAGCGTCCTCTCGCTGGTTTCGAGTTCAAAACTCACCCTTGTTTGCGGCCGTCCATCGTCATCTACCTCTGAAAAGCATTATCATACACTTATCTTCGAAACTACTTAGAGACAAGTTCTTCAAGCACCGTACGATTGCAGCAATAGACGATGTCGTTGCTGTAGCCCTGAACGTTGAAATACTGAGGACTGCGCCCACAAAAGAAAAGCTTCCAGCTCACAATTACCGAATCAAAGCAAGAATTTGCAAATTTACTCGTATTAAACATCGAAAAGAACTTAAAGGCCGAGCCTACAATGATTATGATGGGTATTAATAACGTTATGTGGAACGGCTGGCCCTATGGTGGAGAAGGGGATTCGAGACGTTTTCTTGATGGACACTCATGATAAGGCCTCAGCGGCTCGGCGTATTGGCTACTCCGCCTCCGAGTAGACTAAGAATAAATGTCGTGCCGTGTGCAAGAAAACACAGATGATAGATAGAGAGAGCACCGCTGATTAGCATACCCGCATGAATCAGCTGTTTTTTGCGTTGCTTACGACCTCCCGCACGCATTACAGCCATTCGGAGGCTGAACAACCGACGGTTATATTGGGCTTTATGGCACTTCAAAGGCGCTCAAAGTGTCAATAATTTTGCGTTAAAATTTGATTCTAATTCTTCCACATGAGAGGGGAAACGGAAATGCACTTATCCAAAGACACCGAAACAATGAGCGCGTGAAGAACGTGAAGGGAAACATATCTCCAAACAACGAACATCTTCCTCTATAATTACTTTCAGATGCCTTCATATCAAGCAAAACCGGTGTCCATACAAAATATAATTATAACAGCAGTGTGCTTTCCAACGTTCCCAAGTTTCATACAACAGCTAGGGGTGGTGGAATATCGTTTGCCTACTCTGCGTGAACATTAATATATTTAGAATTTGGCCGCTCGATCGACTTTATCGGATAACTGATTGCTGATCAAGCACCCCCAAACAATATTTGCCAAGTGCAAAAACAGGATTGGGTGGGTAAGACACTATGCACAAAAGATTGGGGAGTACAAGAAAAAAGAACTGATACGCAATGACAAAAACCTCTGAAGGATTCAGCAGATTTTCCAAATTTAATTATTTATAGTAAGAATACAGCTCCAAAGTCCAAGAGGTCTAAGAGAATCACCTGTCAGACGTTTAGTTATACACCTAATGTGAACATTTCCCCTGACAAACAAGTTGAAATCTTCGTTTAGTAATGAAGAAGACATGGAAAGTTTTCAGAAAATTCCGAAAAAAAAACTCTTTTAACTAATAAGTGACAAAAAATTGGACGAACTTAGTACACCTTCTCAAAGTGCCACCGATAGCACTCTACCCAACCATGTCCCCGTCAAAAGAAAGCCCTCTGATTATTAACTACCTCCTCAATGAGTCTTCACTCAACGGTGTAGTGCAGGTGGGAAATATCAAGGAATCAACGAAAAAGATTGCAAAGTTGGTTTCTCACTGCCAGCCAAAAAACAAAATTAAACTCACTCAAATTTTCTAGTTCCTTCTGTAGCTTGACTTCCATCTCAACTTGACTTTCTTTGAGTTCCGAGTCCTTATTTTCTTCCTCTTCTACAGTTGGAGGAGCACCGAGCAGCCGAGAAAATGAATCACTGCGAGGGGGATTTAGTCGATTGCCGTAACCAGTGACAATCGCAGACTCGGAGACTTAAAACACGACAATTTAGCCTTAGAAGGTAAGACGTAATAACATATGAAGCCAGAATACATTTGCTTCTTTTATAGTCAATTTTTTCTGCCATTGGTGCCTGGAAGCATCAGAGCAAGACATCCGGTGGAAAGGCGAAGACATAATTAGTAAAAGGAACAGGATCGGAGCACAAAAATCAGAAAGGACTTCCACTCATAACCTAAGGCTGACACTGACTTGTCAGCTTACTCACTTATCTAATGGGCATTCGCCTCATAGTTTTGTCACCAATCCAGAATGGTGATTAATTCTTAAATGAACAGATATTTCGAATAGATCCGAATCCTCCCTTTCTATCGGCAACTTTTTGCTTTTCGAGGAATGTTAACGTTCTTACTGAAAGCTCAAGAAGATTAAAAAGTACAACCTTACTCATGTAAAGAGCTACTTGGGAAGTTAACCCTATATGAAACAATTTCCTTCTAGAATTTCAAAGCAGCATCAAAAATTTTATAAAACTATCGCTGGGATGTTTTGATGAATGGATAAGGGCAGTCTGTTTTAACAACAACGCCGAAAAGTGACCTCCATCTTCAAGTCTAAAGCGAGCGTATTGAAACCAAACTAATCCGGAGAAGTAGAGAATTAAGTGCAGATTCAAAGCGAGCACTTGGAGGTTGCGGACCGAAACAAAAATAATAATGAAACAGCCCACATGCTTTAACAGCGCTCATGTGAAGGACACTGATAACGGAATGGCTTAAACTTACAACGGTATAATAAAAAAATTTCAGCGATTTTGAATTCGTGGAAGCAAAAAAAATGCTCTCTACAGTATGTATTTTCTTGATCACGAAAAATTATATTGAATCGAGGCAAGACAGAACGTTCGGAAGCTTCATTTCTCGCCCACAAGGATGCAATAATTTACGTTTTTCTCGCTTCAGGGAGGTAGATTAGTGAGTCAGCCTCCATCAACGCTTTTCGGACGTTTTCATATGTCCGTCAGAACGGATGGAGATAGCCGCCTAAATGTTCAAAGGACAACTCTTGAGCAACGTTCAGACCTTCGATGAGGATTTTTAGTTTGAAAAGTGAGGCCGTGTTATAAATAGTTAAACTAAAAGCTTCGTAGACAGAAAGAAGGCCAAGACCCGTCAAAGTACCGAGATTTCACGAAAAGAGAAGTTATAGATTACAACTAAAACAGGAAGTAAGAGTCTAAAACCAATCTTACAGCATTTTTTTGGTCCCGTCATTTCTTCTGGTAAGGGGAATAGAGTTCCAGTGTACGACATGGTCAGCAAATTCGCAAATGGCATATTCTTTATGACAGGCTGAAAATATAGACGTGGTCAGCAACTGCCTTACCATAATCTCTTTGCCCGAAATGAAAAGATTCTAAAATTGATGCAGAGTGATGTCTATGAATGGAGTAGCTCAAAAGAAACTAAATAACTCAATTCCTGAACTTGGATTATACAACAACTCTCACATATATTAGGTTGAGTCATAAGTTCTTGGACAATGTGATAGTGATGACTTCTAGAGATCATAACTCGGGAAAGAGGTGGATGCGATTGATGCGCGAGGCATCGTTAGATAGAGTATAAAAGCTCTTTCAAAAACGTACTAACGAGTACACCTGACCATCTCCTGCGCTTGAGCGTGAGGAGAGATAGTGCCATGTGCCGCGAAAATCCACGTCATACTGCTTCAAAGCATGAGGCACCCATCGACAGAGCTTTCGCACCTTGCCGATTGACTTCAATCCACGAATAATTGTGGACTGACTCCCCAAGGNTGACTGCTAGTTCACGAGTAGTTTGATACGGGTCGGCTTCCACCTGGCTCCGCAGCACCTCCAAATCCAACTCTATTGAGCGTCCGGACGGTCCTCATGTTCGATGGAATGGTCGTCCAACATGAACTTCGTGTGCCACTTCTGAATTGTGCGTCTAGCAGGAGCACCCTTCCTGTAAACTTCCTTAATACGTCTATCGATCTCCGCGGGTTCTTGGCCAGATAAAAAAAAACGAAGTAGGACTGTGTTGCGGAGGTGAAGTTGCAATGGCTTGAAATCATGGGGCATAGCTGCAGGAAAGTAAACGGTCAGGTGTATTCATTAGCATGTATTTTGAAGAGCTTTTCGTACTCTATCTTACAATGCCATGCGCGTCCATTTTCGTCTCCTCTTTCCCGAGTTATGATATCTAGAAGTCATTGCTATCATTTTGTCCGAGGACTTATGACTCAACCTAATAAAATCGCATCCGCGCGTAAGGAGTACCGCAGAATTTCAATCCTTCACTTTATCAGGGCCTCCCGACTTGGTAATTCTTTGTAATTTCGCACAAAAAGTGAAGTAGTGGAAGCATTATAAATCAAGGGCAAGACTTACAATTACTGGTTTCCGCTTCGGACTACTAGATAGGGGTTCTCCTTCACTAGCTAGAGATGTTGACCGCGATCTGTAACATCTGTTTTAAAACTCTTGCCTTACAAAGACGAACTCTCTTACGGACATAATTGGATGGTTCATACCTTCCAGGCTTGACACTTGGATTATTAACATCTAATGGTGAAGCAGCTGCCTGAAAATAAGTAGTGATGAAAAATTCATAAAGTGTTCTGCTTTAAGACAATAGAAAGCCAACATACCAAACTCGAAGGGCTCGTGCTGAATTCGCTCATAAGCTCACAATACGAAGATGGTGTTGGTGACCCAACAGTCGCCGCAGCTTCGGAGGGAGTCCCCATTATGATGCTCATCTGAAAATTATTCTTATTTACTATGTTTCCCATTCGCAAGAGAATCGGTGAACTGCAGCTTTGACAAAGTCAACATTATCCGTTACCTGGTTTGGTGATTCATGCCCTCCGCCGGGGGAAGGCCCTCGCTCTTTAGCCATTTGAGTGCGGTAGGCGAGTTCTAGACGAAACGCTCCTACTGGAGTCGGAAATCGTCCAAGTTCGAGCCGTTTAGCTTCACTGCCCAGATCTATTTCCGAGAAGCCTTCGAACAGTTTATACAAAATAACGAATGTGTCGCAGCTCTGCTTTTTCACATAGTACCTGAAACTTGCTTTGAATTGATTTCACTGAATCAGATCCACTTGAGCGGAGTTTAGTGTCATCCCGAGTAGATACGATGAAAGCGCAAAAACTATTAACGAGAACTGCTGTAGGAGTTTGCACTTTTTTAAATAATTCAGTAACCAAAGGAGCAATTTCCAATCAAGCCCCACAGAAAGCAGTCGCTATGAAAATTCTTAAACACTTCGAATAATTGAATGTACTTGAGAAAATCTCTTGAACTGGGAATCTTTCATGTGTTTCTTGCCAGTACTGCGGGAAATCGTCAGTTTTGTAACAAAGAAAACCGAGAGAAGGCCTATCTTGTAACAATAAGTGAAACAATGTAACCGATAGAATGCTGTGGGGGTATGGAGTGCAACCCTCGAAATCCGAACAAGGAAAATGAAGCAAGTATCGGCTAAAGAAGGAGCTTGTGCAAAAGACAGCCAACCTATGCAACGGAGTCATCCTTGCTGCAACCATAGCACTTCTTAGCATCACACTAAGCTGTAGATACAATTGTGATTTAATGTCATCAGCCCATATGGTCCGTTGGTCTTCGTCATCAATTGAGAAAGCCCTGAATGAAATCGGTTATGCATATCGCATATCTACCCACTCGAAGAACATCCTTTTCCTCTTCCCAGAACCTATCGGCTGTCGTTATTCGCACGTATTTCAGCGGCCCCTTGTGCGTCCATCGAAAAACTCCTACTTCAGGAGCGCCTTTCACAGAACTTTACGAGCTAGGAAGGAATGATTCTTTGCAAACTCAAACTTTCGCTGCATAGAAAATGACCCGCATTCTTCGATATATTTTTCTTCCTAACAAAAAAAAACATCGAGATAATCGAGAGTGAATAAAATAGCTTACGGTGAGAAATTTTGATATTAAAATGTAAATAGAGAATAAATAGTTGGAGAGAAGGATTAGTTGAGGAAAGGGGCTAATGATAGGCGCTTGACAGCGTTTAGGCACGTAAAAAAACGTAAACAGAGCATATGCATAACAGACCATGTTTCCATGGGCAGCACTTCACCGTCGCAAGTATACAACATGAAATCGATAGACATACATCTCGCCACAGGAGGAAAGCTGAAACGTGAACTGTTTGAAACCAAATTTTAATTGAGGCTAAAAAAGAGTCGCAGCTTTTCGGAAACATTTTTTTCCTTACTGTTTCGAAAAAAAATTCCGTTCCCAATCTCCCAAGCGATGGTCAAAACATCTGAAAGCTCGGGAAATAATCAAATATCACCTGCAAATGCTGCGCTTCACTTGAGCGGAAACTTCACCGAGCTCGTCGATTCGAAGATTGAACCAATCAGGACTACTTGAAGGAAGAGTGCATTCGAGATCAAATTTCTCATTTGTCCGGGATTGAACCACCACCTGTAAATGTAAATATCGTGCCCAAATTCAAAAGATTCATGATTGACCCTATCGTAAGACCAAACAACATTTCATACGACATCAGAAGAGGATACTGACGAAGATAAGTAATGACAGCGAGAAAATTCGCTTATAATGTGCCCCCACAAAAAAAAAACTTCCATCCTCGTCTTGCACTTCTTAGGCAGATTCTCCAACCTATATGCTGAGAAAATATCGTGCACTTCTGCTCATGATCTGAATGCTCTGATCAAAACCACTCCGCTAGTTAGTGCAGCAGGGGCTTCACAGCCGGCAAGTTTTAGCCAAAAGAACAATATGGCAACACTGTTACTTTAACTATGAAAAGTCAAACGAGCACTAGTACTATTAATGAAGAAAACGAATACTGATCGTTACAATGCTCCGGGACGGTCCAAAAAAGTAGCTAGCTTGCAAGAAAAAGCAGAGTTTGAGGCTTATTCGCGACCTGATCAACGCCGCAAAATCCGAAGAGAAAGGAGAAAACATAAGCCGCTGTTTCCAGTATCGAGCCGTTAATACCAGTACGGGGTGGAGGTGACGTAGTGGTAAGTGACGCGATGTCACACACGCATGGTCACGGGTTCGAATACCGGATCGATATGGGGGAGGGAACTAAGCTTTTTATCATTCTGAATCAGATAATTGGTACCGGACCGGTCTAGGAGGATGAAAGCACTACTCGTAAATCGGCTGGCTACGGCAAGTCGCTCCTCGTATTAGGCCACTTCACTTACGCATTCAATACGACACTACTACTCTGAATGGGACTCAAATGCGGAGGCGCATCTCTCAAACGAGATTGATAAACGCCCAGAGACTTTCTCCTTCACCCTTCAATACCAGTATAAGGTTGCGAAGCTACTTGAGCAAAACATCACAGTCTCCAATTTATTATCTTACATTATTTCGTCAAATGCCGCCACTGCCAGATTTTGAACAGAATCCTAATGATAATATAAATAATGAACAAAATATTCTAAAACACATGATCCTGCGTGGGATAATCTACCTTTCCAAGACAGCAATACTTCATCAAGTGATCGGTGCATAATAGCTTATTCAATTTTAGGCTGGCTAAATTTTTAAATATCTTCCGGCCATATCCTTGATGATTTACACCTGTCTGAGGCTCTAGAAATAGCGTTGAAAACATTTCATGAATGCAACACACAGGCTCACTATGCCAAAAAATTTAAAATTCAAAATTTGCTACTGGATCCCATGCAACGTATAGGGTGTTCGCTTTCATGCCATCCTAAAATGAGTGAGGCTTAACAGTCAATAATGCCAAACCTACCCAGCACAAGATTTGTTACCAAGTTCAGTAACTATTAAATTGAAGTCTCAAGTCTTTTGCAGCAAGCCGATACCGTTTACGGGACGCACCCCCCTGTTTGTATCCTCTCAAACTCAATCCTCCGCCAGGCACCATACCACCTACTCAACACCGAGATATGGAGATAGGATAAGTTACATTGAAAGGCTTGTAACATCAAATTTTTGTAATATTCGAGCACAATATTTTTGCTGAGCAATTGCATAACCATAAGGTGTCGAGTGGAAGAGGATTTCAGAATGGATAAGTACATTCACCGTTCCTCAGCAAAGAACGTTTGCTCAGCGCTGATCGCACATGAGCCGTTTCGATGGTTTTTGATGTTAAGAAAGAGGAGTATTACGCAGCTGCCCCTCCTTTACATTGCAAACAGATCGGCGCTGCATCTAATTATCGGACATGTGATGTCACCCAAATGCTTCGTTCCCTAGAGATCGGCGCAGCGATCACTTACAAGCATTGCGCTTATTAAGTGATCAATAATGAACAAGTGTATCTTATGTGGGTGGATTCATGAACAAGAAACCATTCGTATGAGTAAATCACTTCATTATCGTTCACTTGCCAGCTTTTTATTCGTGGCTATTACTACCCCAAATGAATGAAACAAGTTGCACCATCTTTCCCTCCGATCAGTTTTTATGATGTTTCTTCTTGAAAAGGAAGACAATTTCTATCAATCATAAAAACGGCCAAAAAAGGTAGTCGTTTTGGTAACGAACGACGTTGTTCGGGCAATTTTACAACATCATCCAAAAAAAAAGACGTCAAACGGCATCGTGAATGGTAGCATAGCGCGGGGCGAGTCTGCTAAGTGAAAGTTCTATAAGTCAGATAAGGCGAAACACATGCAAAGCTTCATCTTCACGACAACAGATTTCCTTATCAGAAGGCTTTACAAAAACTTCTTCTGATCTGAGTTGATGTATATTCCCATCCAATTCAATAATCGATAAGGCAACTGTATGTATAATATGTGTCATCGAAAAAAAAGTTTGCATAAAAAGAGACACGATCAATAAAATTGGACCTACTTATGATATTAAAATTTATTTATGATACTTCAATGTGATATTTCCTAAATGTCTATATTATTAAAAGAGAAGTACCCGAAACAACGTAAGCCACTCATTTACCTGTACTAGGCGTGTGGAGAAATAACGACCAAATTGGCGTAATGTCCGCATATAATCTGGATTTTCAGAATGCGTCGTTGACACAGATGACGACGCGGTCGCCACTTCATCGAGCCCAGTCGTCGACGCAAAAGACGACAAGCTGTTGGTTCGCATTTCCTGGAAAAAAGCGAGCACAGCGTTAGCATATTATCGCATTAAACGAAACACAAAATGTGTTCGCTCTCGGCGAATGTAAACAAACCCAGAATTACCAAGAAATCATTATCTTGAATTGCTAAGTGGAAAATCGTGACGGTTACAAGTGTGGAAAGGCTTTCAGTTGCATAGAGAATACTTCCATACAATTATACTGAAGGATCCAAGAAATTCGATTTGGCTCAACCATCGAAGATGAAAGAAGGAAAGGGATCCATGAACAATTATTAGCTTAGAAAAAGTGCTAAGTGACTCTCTACGCTTGAGAATATTTAGGAGTCTTTTTAAACTCGCTCGAATAACTTCTGTGACATTTAAAAGTGTGTGATTAACAAATATGAACAAAATACTCTTAAGTTTTCACCAGTTGGTACTGAAAAAAGAGAACTGAAGTCGTTCCACGAGAGATCCGTTAATTCCTATCTGAACATTTGTTCAGGATGTGCAAGAACGTTGTCTACAAGCAACGTTAATGCCAGTTCGAATTAAGTTAGGCTAACCAATAATGGGAACAAATTCGTGTGGGAGGAGTTTAATTCGTTGCTAACACTTTGCAGTGAGTATGACCAAAGATTTCGAATAATAAAAATGTGGCTTTCATCATTTACTCAGGTTAAACGCCTTACAAGGCACACCATTGACGATGTTTTTACAAAACTTGGCTGTCGCATCAAGCAGGAATCGCTGAGATTGCAGCAATTTGAGGAAAGCTCACATAAGTCTTGTCAGAAGGAAGTCCTCATAAGTTTCAAAAACTCATCAAGATAACAACTGAAGGGATTAAAAAGCTTTAGAAATGGGAGATGTTCAAAGCATTCGGAAAATTATTCTTCACAAATCCCTCTTCTTACAGGATTATAAAGGAAGGACTCAGTCCTTCAGAAAGGCAAAAAACACAACGATTTCAAACATGAGCAATAACGGCATGAAGCACGTAAACGCAACGGTTCCAATGGGACTACAAGCGAAGAAAAATCGATGCGAGCACTTATGTAACAGCGCAAGAGTAAGCTTTGCTACTCGAAAATTCCCATTCGGGAAACGAAAAGATTACTGAATTTATAATGGCAGGAAGGAAAAACTTGTCCTTCACATCCCCGTCTACGATTTTTTCCAATTTTTTCACTCACGATCAGCTGATAAATACGACGTCACGGCTAGAAACACTAAAAACCTAGCCTCGGCAGTGTCGTTCCGTTTCGTCGTCGTAGCTATGTCGCGTGGGTGGCCCACATTAGAGGAACTTGGATGGCACTGGACACCCTGACAGATAGCCCGCGGCAGCGCAGCGGCTTCCGAATTGGGGCGCGTTATCCCTTGGAAATAGGGAGCAGGTTGCCTTCGGCTAAATTGCTGACCTCAGGCTCGGTTTTCTACTACTGTAGCGTACTTCGTTGCTCCTGAACGTGCTCATTATCTTGCCTTTTCGGGTGGTTCTCTACTAAATTCTATACTGCAGTAGAAATAACGGGAAGATTTACGAGCTAGATATGTACTCCGAGAAATTCTTGTGTATTGGGGAAGGGGGAAGTCGCATATATAATACCCCTAATGAGGATTCGTTGATGATGTTGAGAATATTCTGAGGTGCTGGTGAACTCGCCCTGTTGGAACCCTGCTCTGCTGTTGAAAGTAGTAGATGGACACTTTTGTATATAAGGAGCAGAATAACCCATCCCNCAGGAGGAAAGCTGAAACGTGAACTGTTTGAAACCAAACTTTAACTGAGGCTAAAAAAGAGTTGCAGCTTTTCGGAAACATTTTTTTCCTTACTGTTTCGAAAAGAAATTCCGTTCCCAATCTCCCAAGCGATGGTCAAAACATCTGACAGCTCGGGAAATAATCAAATATCACCTGCAAATGCTGCNNCCCCTTTCATCGGATTCGATCGCTGGGTCTTGCTAAGGGCTTAATTAAATGCTGAAAAATTTTCAGCAAACGTTCTCGTACAAGGTGGATAAAGGTAAATATGAGCTATGAATGCTTCGTCTTAGAGATGTAGGGAATAACGTTTGAAGTTCGATTTGGTACTAGTGTAGTCACATTCGTTGCGATCCCTTAGAGAAGAGCTAAGATCATGTCAGATTTATGGGCCAGGAAATGACCGAGGCAGTTCACTGGGCGCCCTGCGAAGGTTGTTCAAGTCACGAGCGACTGCCCCGTGATTCGAACGAACCAACTCCACCTCTCGTGATACCCTGGGCGGCAGGCAAAATTGCGAAAAATTCGAGATGTGCGAGCATGAGCTCGCAATCGGTTGAGCCTTAAAATCATTAGGTGAATTCACTACTGACGAAGACTCACTGAATTTGAGGATTATTTGCTTTCTGCCAACAAAAGTGTGATTGTCAAGATCCATCTGTAGCAAGCCAATTGAAAAGAACGTAGGATGGGTGCAGAAGTCAAATATGTAAGCTCCACGAGTAATAGCATAAGCTTAGAAGAAGTTCGTACATAGTTGTGATCCAGAATTAAGGATGGAAAACAATGAAAAAGATACGTATCGATTCACTGTTCGAGATTTAGAGGAGTGGAGTGAAAATGATCGGATGTGTCGATCCGGAGGAGACTATAAAGGAAGATGAATTGTATCACATCTGGCTCTCCCAGTGCAGGTTCTCTTAATTTTCTGGTATACGGTACCGACTCATAAGGTCTTTCCGTAGCTAATCCCTCTTGGAATTCCTCTAATTGTTAAGACCCGAGAATAGCTGACTACGTCCGCTGCATCGAATAAGAAGCACAACGTTGTACAATTTTAAAAAGTGCCGAAAAGCAAGGAACAGATTGAGTCACGAAGTGTGTGACCCATGATATTTACGACATCCTATGTACACGACAGGCCTGACAGTAACACCATAAGAATCCTCTGGAAATGTTCTGAGCTAAAAAGGGTTCCATGTGATGCAGAAGATTCTCGGAAAGACCCTCTTCGCACGTTGAACGCTGAGTGCAGGAGATAGCACTTCTCTGAAAGGTGAGGGGTAAAAGCCCTCCGAAAAAGGTGAGAAGGCTGCCATAATCCGAATTTCCCATTTTGGCACCAAGTATAGATAACGGCTGACGGGAGCTTAGTCGGTGTCTTTTTTTTTCTTCCATAGCCAGATGTAAGCTCCTCAGGTTTCGAATCCTCTCTGATGTTATCCCTAACCTTATAGAGCACGGATGTCGCAGTGTGAAGAGGTGGTGAGCTTTGTACCCCAAATCCTTTTGTCGCAGGTACTTGAGCCGCAGTGATTTCGAGGCGATTACCGTACTCATATACGGGAAATTCAGGTGTCACCCTTACACAGCGCACTCCGGCAAGCAGCATGTCCGAGATGGCGAGGCGAACCCTTCGGGTGAAATTCGGTTTCACATGCACTCTGGTGCACACATTCAAAGATCGCTTCTCCTGTATACCACAGTGAACTCAGATTTACTGGAGTCCATTCCTTTAAGTGCCGAAAAATACCCGTGAAAACTGCAGTACCTTAGACCCAGTGATCTATTTCATCTTGTTCTCATGACGCCCCTCTGCATGGCAGAATAACTCATTAAATCGCTTCATTGCTCGGAACTTCCGTTGTCATCGTCTACTCAAAATAGTGTGACTGTTGTGTGGCCTAAACAACTTTCCATCGTGAAACCCTTCCGATTCAAAAAAAACAAGACCGAGTACATCCAAAAAGACTAACCTGAAAATAAAGTTCTTTTTCTCACTGACAGCTTCATTGAGGGGTACGCCGATGCATTTCACTTTTATGCGGGATTGTAAAAGCGTTCAATTGTGTAGTCAGCCTATTAATAACTAGTGGCAGACGGGATCAAGAGATTCTCCTTTCGTGAAGTCAAGTGCGTGGCGAACTCCACGCCCTTGCTGATTACACTCGAAGGAAGGAAAAATCTAATTGTTGATGGGCTTCAATCTCGAAGACCGGAAAAATCGGCGGAAAACAGGAAGTATATGCATATCGATCGATCAGTAAAACAACAGTGAAACGGTAGAGCCAGTTCAATCCATAGATTGTTTTCGCACTTACACCAACAATTTCACCTCTGAGGTGCCAGGGAGGATCGAAAATCTCCCCTTCTTCTTGATGGTGACTGTGTTATTGATTATTATGGATTTTTCGATCCTCCAGTGCAGTCGCAAACTTTGAACAATGCCTTAAGTAATGGAGAGACATGAAAAGAGTAGACAAATACATGACGTCTCGTGACTTTGCAGTCGGAACACTTGAAAGTGTGAGACCTAAAAGGCGGAGGACGCTTTAAAGTGCTTCTTTATCAGCAATGACGTAAGTAGCAAAGCGATCATTTCTTTTTGTTGACTTGCTACTGAGTACTGGTCTCACCCACTAAACGTTCAACCAAAGAGGGGTTAACTCCCGGCTTGCATCAGGATTTGAATCAATGGGATTAGATCCCATCGATTTTTGTCAGTGTCGGAACCCCTGAACAAGTTACGATCGGGACATACATATCTTAAATTCTGAGGGAGGGGGTACCTTATACATCTACCCTATCTTGCTCAGTTACTGTTTACCCCTCAAAGCGGTACTGCCTAATATAGACCGCAGGGGAGAGTCAACAGTAATTTCGCCTAGTCATTACAACAGGCATTACAAAGGTTTCTCCCCGAGAACACACCAGTTTTTGCAGCATACGTTACAACGCATGTGACTTTGAAAAACGATAATTCCTAAGGGCAACCTGCCAGTCGTGAGGGCTCGATTTTTTCCAAGCAGTGTATGTAACCTATTCTCAGCCTTCCATGCAAAACCCAGCAATTCTATTTGTAGATCACGAGATTAGACTTCTACTACGATCTCCTATTGCAAAGACGGTGTTGGTTTAGTGGCAAGTGGCGCATGCGCGCGGGTTAGGGTCCCGGATCGATATCTGCCCTGGCCAACGAACCTTCCATCTCTCCGGAGTCTGTTAATTGGTACCAGACTTGTTGGGACCATGAAATCATTGTGCTGACCACCGATTCAATGTATAGGCCACATACGCATTCAAATTGCCCCTGTGATTCTGAAGGAAAGTGTAATGCTAGGGCGCATTCTACCTCAATCCGGAATCAGGACTGATTAGCACTAAAAGGAGTTAGGGCACAGTCAACACTCAGAGCTTCGACCAAGAACCAAAGTTTGTGCTCGACGCAAAGCAAATACCTTTTTAATATCGACCAGATTGTTTATTCAATTCACTGGTTAAACCATCACTTTTAAGAGAGAGGGCGAAAAAGTTGAAAGATTAGGCAGGCGCAGCAAGGGTGACAGGTAAGGCTATCGCTGCGAAGACTACCTACTGAATTGTGTAATCGACACTAAAATTTGACAGCAACCTCTTTTTTCCGGCAGCTCTACCGTCAAATGGTGTGTGACAGAAAATGTCAATAACCAATAGATTGGTCTGAGATGGTAACTCCCTTTTATATGAAGGATAAAGGATAAAGTCTTGAGGCTCGATCAGTCCCGTCTGAGGGATGCGCTCACGCACTGAACTTCCATTCAGAATCGTAATGGCGTATTGAATGCATATGTGGTCGATACAATGACTTGGGGTGGCCAGCCGATGTACAAGTCAGTGCTTTTATCCTCCCAGATGGGTTTGATACCAATTAACCGACCCCAGAGAGATGGAAAGCTCGGTTGGCCGAGGCAGATATCAACCAGGGATTCAAACCCTTGAGCATGCGTGTTTGATGTGCGCCACTTGCCACTACACCACCTCTGCCCTTCCTTTCATATATCTCTAGAAATTGACTCCCAAATGTGAGGGTTCTTTTTTCGTTCAGTACTTCCTCTGGTCCATTTCTGCCCTGAGCAAGGCTGTACTTCCATCACTAAACCCCAGTTTTGCCAATATTTTGTCAATAAGAAATGTCCAATCGAAAAAAAAGCTTCAAAAATGGTAAAATTGTCAGAAGAGATAATTGTAAATACCACCAGATTCTGGAAGTGGTGTGACGAATGGGTAGGGTGTGGGAGGGGAATGGGGACGTTCGTTATTGGTAAAAAACTGGTTCGGCCAGTTCAATCTATACTGTGTTCTTTGAATTTGGAAAGTTCATAGATTGCAAGCGTCCTATTTCCTCTCAGACCCATTTTTGAAATCAGTTTCTCTGTGTTTTTATTGTATATGCCAATCTAAGGCCAAGTTTTCTACGAAGAGCTTCATGTGGGCAATGGTGGATGTGCAGGAAAGTGGACGTCGAGTCTAAGTAAGTGAAAAAAGCTTCACGAAAGCAATAGAGACTGAACGACCTCGTTTCAATCGTCCTCCTAAGTGGTCGATTATGGACATACCAGTTTTCACCGGCACATAGTTGTCACGCGATGAGTTTTTGTGAGACGGTTCAATAGGTGAAGGGACTTGATCATTCCTTGTTTTGGCTTCCTCTTCCAAATTAAGTATGCTAATACCATTCGTCTCATGCTATTCACCCTTTACCGGACCACCCAAAGTTCGAGCTTGAGTCCAGTAGAATTCAATTTTCGAAGAGATATTGTTAGAGCTCTATTTCTGAGAGTACTTAGACCGGCTAAAAGCAAGTGGGGCACTCAGTGGCTTCTTTTGACTGAAGACATTTAATCTACATGACCTAGTCCCTGCGGTATGTCACTTATTCCGTAACTTCATATTGAAGTGAACTACCTTTTGACGACTATTTGGCGCAAAGACCGACATTTGGACGTACTGGCACCACCGCACGCCATTTCATCAGGACAGTCCTTAAAACACTTTCATGCTCCAACGTCAATGTTGTTGAGGAATGTTAAAAAATTAAAAGCTTTTGGAGGTGATCAATTCCGACTTATTGGATGCGCCCCTCATTCGTCTTCTAATGAGTATCGTGGCAGCGTATGAATGCGTATTCAGCCTATACAATGACTTGCAGTGGCCAGTCGATGAACAAGTCAGTGCTTTCATCTTCTCGGACGAGACTGGTACCAGTTAACCGGCCTCGGAGGGATGGAAGGCTTGGTTGCTGTGAGCAAACGTAGATTGGGAATCGAGTTGGGTGCGTGATAGTGCGCCACTTGCCGCTACACTACTTCTCCCAAAAAGAAAGCAAGAGTTACAGAAAGACGGCCACAGTATGCCTCCATCCGACAAATGAAAAATTTGGTCTGAACCCAGTCATCTCGTGAGCTCTTTCCCACTCACGATGTAGTTGATGTGAAATCATGAATGGTCCCAGAGCTCTTCATCAGAGCTTCTTTTTGCTTTTACCTTTAGTAATGATGCAGTGAAAAACCGAGGTGAGATTGTACCCTTCAATACAGCTGAAATAGCTATACATCCAGAAAAGATTTATTTTTTGTAGGCACAATAATCACAGGAATTCCACGCTTGCACCAGGTGATGAAAAGGCATGGTAGACGAGATTATCACCGAGGAATACCGGTCGGATATCGTCGATCAACGCCACAACCGTGCCGCTCAATCCGCAAACGTGGGCGCCATAAGCTCGAGCCATACGACATTTGGCAACCAACTTGTCCGCTGCTGCACTGCTACATTCGAAATCCTGAATACAAATTCAGAATAAGGAACATGACAATAGTGACCGGGAGACATCGTCCTCCCACACCTCTTCTTTCCCCCTAACGATTGTCATACCTACCTTGCTGCAACTTTCGTGGCATTCGTTGAAATACCTTCCCATTCCAAACAGATCTCGTGTTTCACAAGCTCTTTCAAATTTTTCAACTCGCAAAGCTTCACTGAATACATGCCGAGCAACGGATCGCAACTTGAATGGTGATGCTGGAAAAGAATAAGCCATGCACGTACGATAACAGGATTTTCCAGTCAGGGAGTGAATCGTAATGGGAAATCAGAAGCGGAACTAATAATCGTTTCATAATTATTAGAGATCGGAGCGAATTACACGACTGCAAGAACTCACTGCAATCCCGATTGCATGGGTTATTTTCTCCTTAAAATGTAAAAAACTTCTTCCCTATAGAACTTTTCAATTGGAAAGTCAGATGTCGGAATAACAAAGCAGAAATGGCTTCCACGTAGTCTAGATTTCGAGGAAAATCACTGAGGAACATTATGAGAAATGAAGGAAATCACTCCGAAATATCGCGCCGAAAACACCAAAATACCCTTGCCTCTCAATAAATTGATAAGTATCTGAAATTCATTGCAGTAATCAGGCCGAAAAGTTCTTAAAAATGTTTTTCTCAATATTTTTAGTATTCCTTTTCAACTGACATCTGATTGACCACACTCCTTTTCTTTAATGCCACTACAACAAGCTTTGCCGCTTTCGATTCAGAAAAGTCTTCGTTTACTTCAACTAACCCCCTTGAACACTGTCAAACAATCAAGAAAGCAAGTCGACCTACAGTAACTTGTCCCTTCAGCAAAACACTCTTCGAAATCTTCTGGGCCCAGCAACTGTGTTAACTCCTCCTTAGTAGCCATTTCAGGAAGGTTTTCGCACAACGCTAACATGTCGTCCAACCGCTTCCCAAGCGCTTCCTTAAATTGTTTTTTACAAATCGAATAAAGGAATTCTAGCTATTTGAACTGAGCTGATCTTACCTTGACGTCTTTCAACCTCGAATATATGCAGGTTTTACCGGCGTTCTTGAGTAACAACTAAATAGTTCAATCTCGAGAAGTTTGTGCCAAGTAAAAGTAAAAAATTGATGAATAAACAATTGGTTATCCAATATGTGTTATTAGCTAAGTATGTCTGCTGGTTTGTTGGGCGTTTATTTGTTTGGGGTTCGTGTAGAAGTGAGTTCGACGGGAAATCTATGATTTGTGTCGTGGACCGTGGGCTGATAGTGAGCTGAACGCGGACTCTGAAATGCAGATGACAAGCTTCGTGACAGGTCAGGCTACGAACACCCTTGTCTCCGCCAAATAGTCAGTGGCGTCTAATGCACTACGGTTTGATGCTGCGGCGTCCGCTGGCGCACATGCAAAGTCCTACGACAGTGTAAAGTATGCGAGGGTCTCCTGTGCAACGACGGCATCGGACGGCAACGGTGCCACTTCAGAAGTTCACCAAGGTGAGAAGCTCGCCTTGCAACGCTCGATGTTGAAGGGAAGAAGGGTCTCTGTGATATGCTGCATGAGGACCTGAAATCACTTGGTCTTCATGTCGACCAAGCATTCAATTAGGAGAAGTGGGGTCTGTACACCAGAAAAGCGGGCCCCGCTCATGAACAGGTCGAACACCGATGAGAAAGATGGAGAAAGCAAATCTTCCCGTATCTACTAATAATGGCTTTTAAAAATCTGAAAATAATGAACTACAAAATATCACATATTGACAAACCTTTCCAGCTATCAGTCCTTCTACAAATCGTTGTTCTCGTAAAGACGGCGTCTGAAATGGAAAAAGTATCGAAGGGGAGCTATTTGTTCTTCAAAGATTTCTTCTGACCCAATTGCCTTTACTGAGTTCCTAAATCAAACGCTACTATACGCCGTCATATGTAGTGAGGAGACGCAAAAGTAGAAGAGAGGACGTGGTATGACTAGCCTTACTGGTTAGTTATTTAGCACAACGCAAGGTAAGTTTAAAGACGTTTGCTTCAAACTATGAAAACAAGCGAAGGAAGCATTTACCATCCGAGGTTTTTCGCCACAGTTCAGCACATCGAATACGGCTATCGGCGGTATGTTCACTAGTCGTGTTCGAAGTGGGAAGAAATCAAATCGTACAGCCATATCCTCACTGCCAAGTACCTTAAACCCCTTCTTGGAGCGAAAGAATCTATATGGTGAATGTCCAAACATTTCAAAGCCCTCGCATAAATCTCATACCTGCGTCAGATGAACCGTCCTGTCGCCCCGTTGACCGACATATTGCTCAGCATTGGCACACAAGGTGGCGAGCTCCTCTCTATAAGAAATATGTATTCATGATTTTGCAGTCAAAAAGGTGCTATTCAAACCTCGTTCAACTGCAAAAATGCTTGAGGCCAGGTGCGGCTTGGTGATTAAAAGAAGAACACGAAATAATGGGCAAAAAAGAGATCAGGATGGAAATTAAGTGACACAATGTCAGAGACCAAATTTCCCCATAGACAATCGACGATATATGAACGCGTCTTTTGGAGCTGCGAAGAAAACTCTCCAGGTAGGAATAACTGATATGGGCTTCACCCGTGTCAGTACCTAAAAAGCAGCGAGTTTGATTCTTGCGGAGAAGAATGCTACACGACCACAGACTTTTAGAGGAGATGCACGAAGGAAGAGGAAGGGAGCATAAAGCGAACAGGAAAGTGTAGTTTTTGTCCTGGCAAAGGCTCACGACCAAGCTGTCTGCAACCCATTCTTCACAAAAAGGGAACCCAGAGAACAACTGGACAAGCTCGACGGAGTTCGTCTTCCAAAAGTTTGAAAAGTAGAGGTACTGCTCGGATATGAAATGATTCCACAGCGTGGACCTCTCCGCTCGGATGCTGCGATGAAACTCTTTAGTGGAAAAAGGGCAAGATTTCAGCTCAGCACCTGCTAGTGAAGTTTGAAGGGGGAAGAGAACTCCGAGAGAAAAAACTAAAAGTTGTTCTTACTTGGGCAAGAGAAATAGTAGGGGATGTGAAGCTGTTTATTGANTCGTGAAGCAGAGAAGGAGGAGCAGAAGCGGTGGCAGAAAAGATGAAGCTCAGCAGAACTTTTTGTTTGGAAAGTTACTAAGGCTACGGCCTAATGAGGCACTTGTAGCGCAGGCGCTGTACAGAGTCTGTAGAACTCACCGTGAGATCCCTTCGAAACTCTTTCCAGTGTGTAAAGCTAAGGTGGTAAGAGCAGCAGCACAGACAATGGAAGAGCTGCTAGAAAGTCCCACAGACGAAGGGATGCATCCTAAAACAGCAAAGCGTATAGTAATCCCTATTTTCTGTCACTTCGCTCATCATCGACTTTTTCGAGCTCAGATTGTAATGAACTCCTAAATTTAAATTGCTCTTTACGTCTCACACCCTTGATGGACCATACAACCCAGACAGTCTCTTGACACCCACGAGTGAACGAGGGACTGCTGATACAATGGGATTTCGGAAGAAGGGGAAAGGCAATTCGATCTGTCAGGGTCAGAGATCTCATTGCACTTCAGCTTCTTCAACGGCTCACTACGGCTATTTTTATCCAGATGATGAGAAATGAGGCTGGGGTGCCGTCGATCAATGTCGCCTACTGGCAGATGCTACCCAAAGGCCTTGAGAAGGAACTTCTTTACTGGGGGTATGTGCGTATTCAATCATGATTCCCTTCAAAGATAGACCTCGACTGATCGTACGACACCTTACCCTCCCTTCTAATACCACCAGATTTCACGAGCCACGCCGCCCTCTGCACATTGCTCTTACTGCAGTTCTTACCTTCCATCAGTATATCGAAGCCGATCGCATCAACCTTCAATCGTTCCAATATGCCTTTCCATCCTGCAAGCAAATAATCGAACCATTCAGGGCATGTTGTTCCGTTCCAATCAGTCGGTAGGCTGATACTGCATGATCTGAAGTTTTTTCTTTGATGAACTGATTTCTAATTATTTTCATTTTTTTGTCCTGTGAGGTGGGTAGTACAGTGCGGCCAGGAAGCCATCTTTGTTAACTGCATAGCCCACCAATCGAGCCCTATCTGTGTAACTGAGTCTGAAGGTTGTATCGCTCTATCAAGGTAAAAGACCTGCCTAAGGTAGAACTTCAGGCCTCCACATAAGGTGGGTTTCATAAATCGTCCTAGAGGCCCAGAAGAAGAGGAAGATTGAAATATTATTGCAATTCTGAATGGAAGTCGAGAGCACGGCGCAAAGGATAAGTTCTACATACTCAAGTGGTCGAGACTGCCTCTTGTACTCCTGCTTTACAATTTTTAATATAAGCATGTATTTTCTGAGGATCTCTTCTCTTGTTTGAGGCAAAAAAGATCAAAACTTCTTAAATCCATTCAAAGCCATTAATATTTCATAACAACGTTAAAGCTTGACAGCCGACGGGTTATCAAATATCTAACAATAAGTTTGCTGGCGGCTGCTACGGACAAATCTGATTCACAGGACTAGTTGTCTGGTATTTTTAGTGCGGATGAGTTTAACTTACCTCTTGCACTCTCTGGAGACCAAGCACTATTTTAAATTACAAGCTGCAGCGAGACGAAAGAGCATTTTCAGCCAAATAAACGAAATAAAGTATAAGATGAACGGGAAACGAATGCAGTGCTTTGCTCATAGAATTATGGCCTATAAGGTAAATACCGAGGAAAGAATACACAGAAGAAGCAAAGGTTCGCTTTGAATCGACTGATTAAAGTGAAGGGCTAATGAGCTCCTCGCAGGTTTTGACCTTCAGCTCGCTCTGAGTTGCCCAATGTCCAGATTACATCACTGCTCTGTTTGGCTGCTTTCATAATCCACGATTTGGCCCGCGCGACCGGCCGCAGCGACCGATCGCGCGACTGGTCACGGACCAGTCGCGGACTATGAAAGCGGCCTTTGACTGCTCATAACTCGCCAACCTCGTGAGTTAATGTAAAGTTATAATCAGTGGAACGGCAGAACCTAGAAACTTGTCGAAAATCTCGGCTTTTGCCAGTGATTACTACTTCATAACTTGCCATTAAAATGAGAACGACGCGAAAAAATCTGATCGGAGGCCGGGTTTAGATAACGGTTCATCTAATTCACGTCCTTGCAAATTCACAGATTCGTTTTGCTAGAAGGTGGATAAACCTAGGTGATCCCCGTGTCTCCAGTCTGTAGACAAATGTCACTTGTTTTGCCTAGTACTCTCGAAATTCACAGTCAGGGCAGAAATTACAGCATAGTTCGTAGGTCCTACGAATATCATGTGGTATGCACTTCTATCTCAGACATGATTTCAAGAAATTTGCATGTGATCATGAAAATTTGTGTAATTTTACTTGGACTCATATGACGGGTTTTGTTAGGGATCGATAAGAGAAGGCTGATTAGTCTACCTGGTAAAATAAACACAGATAAAGTGCTGATATGATTACCTGTAGTCCTCGTCCGTATTTACAAAACGAATTTCGGCTCTATCATTGAGAGCCGCTAGGATCTCTGTACCCGTGTCGGTAGCCGTTGCAATAGTTCCAAATCCATGTTCGGCTATATGTTCACCTGAGAAAAACATTGAGATCATTATAAATTATGACATATTATGTGCTTCACAGGCGAAGGTGGTGTGGTGCAGTGGCAGGTGGCGCCCTGTCACCCACGGGTTGCCCACAGATCTGATCCTGGATCGAGACCTGCTAAGGCAACCAAACTTTCTATCCTTACGAAGTTGTTTAAATGGAACCAGACTTCTGGGAGTATGGAAGCCCTGACTTGTACATGGGCTGGCCATAACAGTCATTGTATGGGTAACAAACACAATAAAACACTGCCACTATGGTTTTTGATGGAAGTCAGGCGCGGGGCGCATCCCAAAAAACGTGTTTTCTTGACGCCAGAGACTTCATGATTGAGCTGGAGTGTATTTGAGTATTAAAAAACAGGGAGGGGAAACACCGCGATTCATTCAAAAAGGCAAAAGTTTAGGGAAAGCAAATGCGACCATTCATCAAAAAGAAAGACCATTCGATTCCACTATATTATTATGGGATTAAAAAATGATAAAATCAATCAATCAATCAAATCAAGTATCGCATCCAACGAACAACAGCTGAGATTTCTTGGAAAACGATGTATGTTCAACATCTGGACAAAATCGTAAAGACATCCGAATGAGCCGCCAATAAATAGCATGAGACAAATATCGCGGTCCGAAAAGAATTTGTGATAGAGAAACCCCATGGTGAAATAGAAAGTAACCAGACGACTGGAAAATCCGTAACCTGTGCGACGTAAAGAAAAAATGGACGTAAAGAAAAAATGCTCTGAATAAGGACACAAACTGGTATGGTGGGGAGGTTGTCCAGCTGCATGCACTATAAGGTTTGAGCCAAGAGCCATTCCCAGACTGAAGCAAGATCTTTCCGAGCTGAGAACGAGGCATGACTGATCTCAAGGTGTATTTGGAAGTTCAGAAACTACAGACAGAACGAGGGAGAGGATGTGATAGACGGCAAGTAATACCAGTACTGTGTGCGTTATCTCAAAAGCAGGACAAGACGGTAGGGCTTAGCCGGTCCTTCAAAGTCAGCTAACCTTGGAATCTGCGCAGTACAGGTCTTATCGGGGTTTCCCTACTACGCACGTACAGAGAATGTTAAATGGAGGAGAAGACGCTTTTATTAGATCGAAGCCAGGACTCATCTTTAACCTAGCAGCCGTGATGACACAGAGAACGCTTTTTGACTACAAAGCACATTAAGCAAGAAAAACTGGTTGGATAGCCGAAATCGCAAGACGAGGCCAGGTTCACATTATCGATTTGTGTAAAATTCTAAATCTAAGCAATAATCCAGACTTTAGAAGAATTGAAAAAGATCATCTATAATAATATAACAATAAAATGAAGGTAGCGAAACGAGTTCCCAAAACTGCATGAACGAATACTCAGAAAAATAGGCTTACCAATAAGATTTAGGTGCCCAGGACAGAATACGCGTACTGTAGGTGCATGACCGTAGACGTCAGTGAACATTTCGGCGTTCATTTCCGCTTCTGCTGCTCATCTGCTGACTGTCAGCCGGAGGAGCTACACGAGGGCGCCGCCGCCTCATGTTATGCTGTAGAACGTAAAGGACACCAGCTGCGTCATATGATCAATAGTGACTGGTTGAGAAAACAGAGTTTCACTCAGCGATCCTCCACTCGGACAAGTGAACTCTGGGTAGAACATCCGGGAGACCGTTGAGGAGCTCAGCTGTCAGGTCATATTTCATTGCAACACAGGACCCGTACCAGAGGTTCGCTGGAGACGTCTGTTTGACGTCTGGAGGCTTCGGTTTCGGAAAGACGGGATTTGCAAGTCACGTTGGTCTCGTGACCAGCAATTTTAAAACCCGCACAGATCAGTTTGTGTGTGCTCGAGGAGGGGCTGTAGAGCTTCTACAACCTCCGCTCCAACATCTCACGATCAGAGAACGGCTAAGGCGAACATGAAAAGATGGCAGCTGGATGTTGTTGACCATATAAGGAGTAGAGCATTATGCATATTTTCTATAGGTTTTACGTAAATGGCAGTCTGCAGATGGGTCCAAGCTGCTATGTACTCATTCCAGTTACTGGATTTTCCTTACTCTCGAACAAACCATAAGCTCAAGTTTATCAGCTCTGT